AAACGTTAAAACAGAAATAATTTGCTGGGAAATAAAATAGGTAATAGTCTTGAAGATATAGGTTAAGCAAAAACTTTCTGAATTCAATTATAGTTGAACTAGAAATAACATTAAAAATCAGCAAATGGGATCAAATCAAACTGAAAAGCTTCTGTACAGGAAAGAAAATAATCAACAGAGTAAAGAGATAATCTATAGAATAGGAAAAAATTTTGCCAGTTATGCCTGGAATAGGGGACTTATATCTAGAATATATAAAGAACTTGAAACAAATCAGTCTCCCCAAATAAAAGACTCAATCAAAAGATGTGTAACTGAAAAGAATAGATATTTCTCAGAAGAAGTACAAATGGCCAATACATACATGAAAAACTGTTCAACATTACTGGTCATCAGACACATGTAAATTAAAACAACACTGAGATTCCATCTTACTCCAGAAAGAGTAGCTATGATCAAGAAATAAATAACAGGCCGGGCATGGTAGCACATGCCTGTAATCCTAGTACTCAGGAGGCTGAGGCAGGAGGATCGCTGTGAGTTTAAGACCAGCCTGGGCTACATAGTGAGTTCCAGGTCAGTCTCAACTAAATAGTGAGACCCTGTTTCAAAAAAAAAAAAGAAAGAAAGAAATAACAAATGTTGGAGAGATTGTGGGGAAAAAGAAACCCTTTTACATTGTTGATGCAAATGTAAACTAGTACAGCCATTACAGAAGTCAATATGGAGATTCTTCATAGTGAGACCCTGTTTCAAAAAAAAAAAAGAAAGAAAGAAATAACAAATGTTGGAGAGATTGTGGGGAAAAAGAAACCCTTTTACATTGTTGATGCAAATGTAAACTAGTACAGCCATTACAGAAGTCAATATGGAGATTCTTCAAGAAACTGAAACTAAAAATTCCATTCTACCTAAATATTCTTGTTCTAGGTATCTGCATGCAAGAATAATTACAGTATGTCATGCATACCTATAATTATAAGCAGTACAATTCATAGTAGCTAAATCTTGGAAGCAGCTTATATGTCCATCAATAAATGAGTGATAAAGAAAGTGTGGTATTTATATACAGTGGGGCACTGCTCTGCCATAAAGGACAAATTTGAGTGATTTGTAGAAAACTGGATGCATCTTGAGACCTTAACATGGAAATGCAGGCAAAAGTAATTAAAAACTAATAACCTAATGCAGTGAAACAGAATGTAGTTCCTAATATGTAAACAAAAAATAATTCATTTAATTGAACTGATTAGTATAGGATATGAGATTGTCCATGCAGTAAGGTTATAATATTGAACATAACAATAACAAAAATTAAGAAGGGTCCTGCTTTGTTACTTTCTTTTAATTTTTGCTTGATTTATTTATTATTCTTTTTAGTCGATGTATACACATAAAAATTACTAAAGCAAAGATGAATAGGTACTGTTATCTTTAATTTTTCATTTATTTTCATTTTTGTCTTTAATTTTTCAAATAATATCAAAGAAATACACAATAAATATTATACCATTCATGTAAATGACCTCATATGGCAGATTGACATACCTGCGCACCTCATATTCTTTTTGCTCCCTGCCTACTTATTCTCATAAAACACTGTATTTCCGACCTCTCTGGTACACAAGGAAGGCTATATGATACAGCTCTAACTAGTGAACTGTAAGGGAAATTGCTGGGCGCAGCACCTTGGAAATCTCTTGGGAGAAGTGCAGGACTAGCCTCACCTTTGCCCATTTCCCTTCACCTATTTCTTCGTTTGAGTAAGGATGTGAAGCAAATAAGAAAATGAAGCAACCAACTTATGAGGTTGTAGGTCAAAAGCTACCTACAAATAGATGGCAAAATGGAAAGTTGGGAGGCTCCTGGATACCTAAGGACATCATAGGGTCACTAGCACCAACTCTGACTGCAAACTTCTAATATTTCCTGTTCAGAGAGGTGAGAAACACCTTTTTTAAAAAAAATCCATTCTCTTACATACAGCCAAATACAACCGCTAACTTATACATCATGCTAAAATTTAATTTTAGCAAATATATCACTGACACTTTCAAAATAATATACTCTAGACTAAGGCATAGTGGCACACACCTGTAATCCCAGTACTTGAGCCAGGAGGATTGCCAGGAGTTCAAAGCTAGCCTGGACTATGTAGCCAGACTCTGTCTATAAAAACAAAATAAAACAAAACAAAACAGATAATCTACTCTGTATCACCTTCAGATGAAAAATATAAACCTCACACACACACACAAAACAGACTGAAGACTCGAAACTAGCCTGTATCAAAACAAGGATTTAGGACTTCACTGTCATTTAAGTGAATAACTTTTCAAAAATATTAAAATCAAGCCCACCTTAACAACCTGGTTTGAAAAGAAAAACATTTCATAGTTTTTTAAAAATAATATTTTAAATATTACACATATACTAGTCAAAAATTAGTATTATCCCTTTGGTTATTCCTAAGCAAGGTGGTAGTCTACAGTCACTCAAAGTTAGTGTTCAAACTAACATCAGTCTTTTAAGTATATCAATATAGTATATTTCTAAAGACTGAACAATCCCTAGAAAGGATAGAAAGTCAGGAAATTTACAAATGGTATGAATTCATTTTCTATCCTACAAAAACAACTAATTTAAGCCCTTCTCTATCAACTTCAAAGGAAAATTTAAATGTATTTATACAAAATATTATACATATGTATTTCACAAAAATTATGTTGAAGAAGACAGAATATCTTCTGGACTTAGATATGAAAGTGCTCTTGACTGGATATGGGGCTCTTGGATGTCAGTGCTTTTTGCTCAGTAATTGGCTAAATCCTTATATCACGATCTTTTGACTAGATTCCTAATTCCTACTAGTCAGAAAATTCCTCCTGCATTTCATTTTTAAGAAAATGTAAATGCTTGTGCAGGGCATCTGTTTATAGAATAGAAAGCATCAATTTTGTACTGAACTTTCATTCTCCTTCTGCTGGGTATGTGGCCCCACTCTTGGTTGTTCCTTAGTCCCTTATTGAAGAGAATATAATTTTTGCCTCTGAAATTAAACCTCTTAGAGAACTAAACTTTGTTTCAATAATAACACAAATCCATCATGGAATTTTTTTCCCCCTGCCAACAGAATCTAGGTTTCAGGTAGCAGTTAGAAAACCAGCTAATGCTTCTTAGATACACAATGAAGTACTTCATGTCATGTCAGGCTACTGATACCAGTTTCTTGAGACAAAGGACTGGGTTATCAAGAAGTAGTAGCCAGAATACTTTATATTTCATAGGAAGTACTTTATATTCTATAGGTAGTACTAAAATTGTACTTTTAATTAAGAAAAGACTGTGCGGCCAGGGATTTAGTTCAGTGGTTCTACAGCCTGCCTTGCAAGCTCAAGGTCCTGAGTTTGATCCCCAGTACCAAAAGAAAAAAAGAAAAGACTGCTTAAAACTACTCTAGCAGTAATTGTGAAGTGCCATAAGAGGGAGATAGAACTCTACAGAAAGAAAGAAAAAACACAAGCAAATTTTTCCAAAGGTACAAGATCCCAGTAATGAATGTAGCTGTACTGTCTACCTAGAATGTACCAAAAAAAAGACCCAAGTTGTTTTCGTTATCTTCCAAGACACAGAAATATAAGTATCTATGGGTTGCAAATAACACAAACATATCTAAGTAAACTTTTTCTTCTCAATTTATTATTAGCAAAAGTGAAAGATTTCTCTTTTACTGATGGATTGTAGTTTTTCAAAGAACATCCATAATACTCTGGTCTGCAGGGGTCTTGTGAATCCAGCTGCCAAACTAGTGCTCTAAATATAGCTATTCAGAACTATTTGACATTATTTTTTAAAAACAGTATATCATAGTGTAGTGAAATAGGTGCAGGTTGTTTTCAGAGGGCTCCATGATTGCAGACTGTGTGAACATGATCAAATAAAGTACCTTTATCCCAGCTCAGTGTCATGTGCATTAAAGGAAATAATATGAAACTTTATCTTAAGGGACATTAAATTAATCTGCATGTGTATGTTTAATAAAAATGTATTATGTTAAATCTCCCAAATTCAATTGAGTATTGTATTTTCATTTACAACAAAACAAAAAACACAAAACTTGGCTTTTTACAAGGCTCCCATTTCCCCCCCAAGTATTTCTGAAATAAAAATTCAGCAAGAAATCTGAGGAAAGACTATTTTTAAGGATGTTTGGACCTAACATAAGTCATGCTTTGGGTTTTATCTATATTTTAAAGAACAAATTTGAATGAATGAAAAGCCAATGAAAAGGTTTTGTACAATATAAGGCATATAAATGTAAGTAATTTATCAGAGATTAAAATGTACTGTCAAAGAGGGGGAAAATGTCAGCAGGGGCAACCAGAAGAAAAAGTAGATGGGTACCCTAATGAGGTTTCTTGCTCATTTTGGATATTGCTATGAGTTATCCATTGGATTTTATACTTTATTTTTTTGGTACTAGAGATCAAACTCAGGCCCTAGCACTTGTGAGTCAGACGCTGGAACCAATGAGCTAAATCCCCAGCCCTGGATTTTATATATTTTTAATGTATTTGTGTATAGATGTATATATATATATATGTGTGTGTACACAGCTGTGTATATGCGAATGCGTGTATATATTACATAGAAAGTAGAGGGGCATGATTTAAATATATAGAATATATAAAGATATATACTTTGTGTTAAACAGTTTTCTTCAGATTGCAAGGAATAGACACTCACATTTTCAGACAGCCTGACTACAGAGATTCCTTTCCTTTCCTTTTGTTTGTGCCCACACCAGAATCCATGCTCAGCTTTGTAAGGGGAAGATTAAGCTGATGGCCTTGTTACTACATTCTTCATTTGCAAGGAACAGCATTCCTAAAAATATTTTATTTGGATCGTTTCTCAATCATTAAGTCTTTGTTTGGAGTCTGTCTGGGGAAAAGTAATTTCCTTGAATTATTCTCTTTGGTTAACTGTCTTTTACTTACCACTGACATTCGCTCATAAACATGAATAGAAGATAGTCTATCTATAATAAAGCAAAATGAACAATTGATGTTTTATCAGTTTTAACTCAGCTTATAAGACACATATGAGGGCTGGAGATTTTAGCTCAGTGGTTCTGGCGCCTGCCTTGCAAGCACAATGACCTGAGTTTGATCCCCAGTACCACCCCCCAAAAAAAGACACATATGATTGCTTTTGTACCTGAAGGATTTCCACGGATTCTTTTCATTTTCTCTTCCAGAGATATAATTTGTTTTTCTAGTTGATCATTTAATTCAAGCTGTGCATCATAGCGAGTTTTCCATTCACCACCTAAGTAAAAAAAAAGAGAGGAGGAAAAAAATCAAGATCACCCTTTCATCTGTCACTTATTAAAGTAACATGAATCAGCTTGATCTTGACTTTATTAGCAATACAAATGAATTAATAGGAAATAATTTTAAGTACATATTTCTGTTAGATAGGATTTTGAGAACTAGACCCACCTTCAGGCTGGAAAAAGACCAGACCTCTATATGACTACTGTGGTTCTTATTATTTATTCTCCACCTCCTATTAACCCTTCTTGATTCCCATTTCTTTATATCAGAAATATGCTTTTTCCTTGGAACTTGAAATACACACATTACAATAGCCTGAACTCTACTAATCTCCCATTCAATGTCATGTTCATTTTTTCCCTTTGAAAAGATTTCAAAAGTCAACATTATTACCATTTATGTTTGTAACATGTAAAGCACACACAATGCTTCACATCAACTAACGTAATTCTCATTTAAAAAATGTACTGATTTTATAAATGAAGAAAACAAGGCTCAGTGATGTCAATTAACATTCTTAATAAACGAGGGAATTGGGTGTAAACCTAATTTTTTTTCTGACTCAGAAAAGTAACCTCTCAACAACTAACCTACAGTAACACTGAGTATATTTAGCTTTCTACTCAGACATTTTCTCTTATCCTTAGGCACTAAAACTATTTGGCTACTATGGCCAAAGTATTTGTCTTATTGTTGGGGGGGTGCCTAGAATACGATATAGAATTACAAAGTCTTTTTTTATCTTTCAAGCCCAAAGCCTTCAAGGTCAGGAGGATCTGGAGAGGGAGAGAGGAGGGAGAGAGAATGAGGGGAAGGAGACAGAATAGAGAAAGACGGGGAGGGATGACTGAATCTTAATACTCTTTACATATGTGAGATAACTTCTGGTTGGTAATAATTGAAGGAGTCTGAGGAAAAAGAAAGTAGTAGTACTCACCACTGCCTGAAATTGGCCTCCCTCATACACTAAAGTCTATGCAAATGTGCCTCACCAAAGGAAGAGCCTGAACATCCTTTCAAAGTGAAACTGAAAAAGACTTAATCCAAAATTTTAGGAGACAAAAGAAAGGAAAAGCCCCGAAAATCTGAACATTCTTCTAGTAGACACACTTGAGCCCAAATAGGTGGAATGGCTTTTATAGTGGCTAGCTGAAGTCTCTTTTGGTCATCATGTCCCATCTCTCATCATAAGAATGGAGGCTTCAGAGAAAGATAAAAATGGTTTAAAAAAAGCCAGTTGGGGATGGTAGCACAGCCATAGTTTTACAGCACTCAAGGAGGCTGAGACATGAGGACTGAAAGTTCAAGACTACCCTGGCTACATAGAGTGATCCTATCTCAACACAAAAAATAGAGTGTTCCAAGCCACTCAGAGCAATAGTCAAAAATAAAAATGTTTAATATATGAATAAATAAAGCAATTTATTTTTGACACATTAATATAGTTTATAAAATCAGCCCCATTTCACTTTAAATATTATTAGCCTAAAGATCATCAAATTTAGATAGGCTTATTAATATAGTATGCTGTATTAATGTTAATAAGCACAAGGGATTTTTTAAGCAGAGTTAGAAAGTAAGAGAAAATGGGAAGGGATTCAGCTTGCGGAGATGATGAAAGCATAACTCTAATAGTGGCCAGACTGGCACAACAACAGAGGGATGGGACCAATTTTTAAGAAGCTGACTTGGCTGATAATTATCTCAGTTCTGCTTTTGCAAGATGGCTCTGGGAGAAGTCTTTTATCACTTAATCCACTCTCCATGAGGTGATTATTTCTACTTCAGGAAGGCTGTGCTGAAATTCAAAGTGACTTTGGGATTACAGTAATGACTAGAGACCTCTGGGTGTTCACTGGTAGCTAACTGTCCCTATAAATCGCTTATCTTGATGTTGTCTTGAAAGAAGGTGAGAGGTTATATAAAATTAAGGTTAATCAACCTGTAGTGCCAACTTTTAGACAGACACTCCCTAAATAATTATCATGTCTGTAATGCAGAGCTAAGCAGGAAGCTGACTCAAAGTTTTAAGAAAAAAACAAAACAAAATCTCATACAAAATAAAGATCAAGCTTTGTTCTGCTTTTAGTTACCCATTTATATACCCATATATAATCCAAGTATACCACTGTTTTGTTTTTGTGGCAAAAACAACTTTTAAATCCCTGACAGCCCCAGAAGAAAACACAAATTGTGTTTAAAGAGTCAGTTGGTCCTCTGCCCCTATAGTGTTAAACTGATCTCCAATATATATACCCATAGGTACAATTCTTTCACTACATACATATGGCTCTAGATTGTACAGTATAAACAAAGATAAAAGCACATGGAATATTGATTTAAGTGGAAAGTTTTTGTTTTGAGGCAGGCAGCAGAACCACTGAGCTAAATCCCCCGCCTGAAAACTTTTTGTTTTGAGACAGACTCTTACTATGTACTTCAGGTGGGCCATGAATTCACTGGATAGCCCAGGCTGGCCTTGAATTTGTGGTGATCCTCCTGCCTTAGCATCCGAAGTGTTGGGATTACAGGAGTGTGACATCACACAGGAAAAAAAAAATTTTAAGTATGGTATTTAAAAATGAAAAGTAAATAGGCTTATGTTGCTATTAGGTTGCCTATGTCTCCCAGGAGGTGTAGGCACTTACAATAAGCTGTTATTTAAAATACAGGTTCCAGGGCTGGAGATTTAGCTCAGTGGTTCGGTGGCCTGCCTTGCAAGCACAAGGACCTGAGTTCAATCACCGGTACCAAAATAAATAAATAAATAAAAATTAAAATATAGATTCTGATGATTAACATTTAACAGAAAATGTGTACCTTTTAGAAGAAAAAAGCTGAGCAATATCTCCATAAAATTATTGTTCCTCCTTAAAAAAAATACTCCTGCTGTAACTGTGAAAACAAAGAAAAATTTAAAAAATAGGCATTGAACATCTTAAAAAAATTTTAAAAATTAAATTGCTTTGCTATCATAAAGAGGGATCTCAGCTAGGAATAATATAATAAAAAGTAAAATCAAATAGAAAGTTGAAAATTATGGAGGTTTAATTTTATTGTCAGTTTTATGAACTGATCTTGGAAAACAGGTTGCTTTTACTAATGCACTAATGCTAATGAATGTGATAAGGAAGTGTAACATATTAGTCTTCAGTAAGATAAGGACTGAGAGGTGACATTAGACTTGGCAAAATGGAACACAATTCTACATGTGCATTTTTTTCACCAATTTTCAGATAGGGAAATTGGGACCAAGAGGACTTTAATTTATTCAGTTATACATTTAAGTTCCACAGCTGTGATTTTAAACTGTGGAGCTGATTCGAAAGTCAATGTTCTTTTCACAGGCTATGTCCTAGCATTTACCCTCTCCAGTACAGATTCTTAGATGCTCAGGGATTGAGCACAGTGATGGTTGTACATACTTATTAACTCCCAGGTGTCTCTCCAGAAATTTCCTTGAGCAGTAAATTTAGCTCATTAACTACTAGAAGGTTCACAGTGACTTTTTCTCCTGCAATGGGGGAGATGAAACTCAGGGCCTCACATATACTAGGCAAGTAGTCTGTCACTGAACTATAACCCCAGACCTATTTTTTACTGGTGTGTTATATGTGACCCATCAACAAATTTCAGAAGCTCTGCAAGATATATCAGGTTACATGCTTTCCCAACCCCCTCTATCCCAGAGTTTCTCTTCAGTATGAAATTTCTTACACTGAATGAAAATTCAGATTGAACTATTATTCACCTGTAGTCAGTCTTCTGTTGTCTCTTTTCTATAAACACATTAGACATAGACCTCTATATTTAACAGTGAAATTAACAGATATTTTATGGATTGGGATGGAATGGTGGTTGGAATCATTTAAAAACTCTATTTCCTAATTTTTATGGCTGATATTTGCTTTTTAAAATAAAAATTTCTTCCATTATTGCATCCAACCATTTCCTAAAGCTTTATTCATATGAGTTTTGTAATTGATCCTATGGAAGGGTCTGATCATTAAATTGTAAAAAACAAAATTTCTAGTAATCTTATCTCTTCCTGTGTATTAATTATCACTTATTTCTTTTTTATAATTTATTGCATGATTAGAATTTCAAGACCATTAATTTTGACAGCAGTCATCTTCATTTTTTTCCTAGGAATAAAAATGACTAACGTTTCATGATTAAGTATTATGCCAGTTTGAGATAAACAGATCTATTCTTTTCCTTGTTTTGAAATAAAAACACATTTAAAAATTTTAGCATTTACCCAAGTGAGTTTTAAAAAATGTTTGCTCTATCATTATATTAAACCCAGTAGTCCACGGAGCTTGGACTTAGAAACCAGACCATAAATGCAAATAGAAAAGGACTCAAAAGAGAAGTTTAGGATGGAGATATAGATATGTGTGTTGCCAGTATATCATGGTATTTAACCCAATGAGAGTATAATTTCTGCCTCGTGACATTCTCTCTTTGTGCCCACAATCTAGCTTCTCCCCATGAGAACAATTGATAATAGGACTTATTGAACATTTTACTAGGAGACATACATATTGCACTGCATGTGTATCTGTGAGCACGCCTTGTTTTTTGCTTGTTTTTTTTCCCTGTAAATGACTAGAGGAAATCATTCAGCTACCCTTATCAATGCAACTACTTGTTAAGTGAATTTGGACTCTGCTCTCCTAGCCAATTATAACTAAAATGCAGATGTGGAGCTTTAAAAAATAATTGGACAAGGCAGTGTCTCCAATCAAACCTTAACAAAGTATTGGGGACTTTAAATATAAAGTAGCATTTCATTTCTCTTTGGCTACTAATCCTTTTGTTCATGGCTCCCATACTAGGAAAAGAGGTATAAATGGATCTAAGAACCAAAGTCCATCATTATTAACCTTAATAAATTCCTTCTGTTCTTTAGAATTAAGTTCAAGCACTGCTTCCTGTGAAAAGGCTACATTAACACCTTCACTTGAATTATGCTGGCTTCTCTGTCCTTAAATTCCTATTTTTCTTACATAGAACTTTTTTAAAAATTAATTTTATTTGGTACAATTTAAATACACATAACAGTCACACTCATGAAAGGAAATTTGTACCTGTACATGGTATATCTTGATTCCTTTTTCTCCCAATCCCCTCACCTCCCTTGAATCCTCCTCCCTTCCTTAAATGAACTTTTATTACTTCTATTCATATTTTAGACACTTTCTCCTGAAAGTCAGAAAATCTCTTAAAAATATGAAAAGTCTTCTATTTAAAAGGGTTAACATATGATGTCTCAATCAGTATTTGTGGAAATTAATATCCTGCATATATAATAAACTGTAAGAATATATAGGTATGTTATATGTATATGTGCAATACCCACCCCACTCCTACATACATGTTCTTTCAAAACAAAAAAACAAACAAAAAGTCAAACCCTAGATCAGATTTTTTTCAAACAGGCATCTCACTATGTTGCTCACACTGGCCTCAGACTTATGATTGTCCCACCTTAGCCTTCAGAATAGCTGGGATAACAGGAATGTGCCAACACACCCAACTCAGTTCCTAGATGGGCATTTTAAAATTATATTCCAGACAAGCATTGTGGCATATGTCTGCAATCCGAGTACTCTGGGAGGCTGAGGCAGGAGGACCACAAATCTGAGTCCAGAATAAAGAAAAGTTTTATTCCAAATCTAGTAAAGATATGAAGGATAGGTTCACTAGAAAACATGTCATTATTTAAAGGATAGAATATATTGATGTTGCCTGACAAAGTCTGTGTGAATTGATGAACATTTTGAACTTGCAAAGTTGAAAAATAATTAGATAGTAAGAGTTCATATTCTGAAGTATCTCTTTTAAAGCTCTTATGAATTATTATTATTATTGATATACAAACTACACTGATATCTTGCTATTATTTAATGTATGTAATATAACATAATTATTATCCTGGTAAAATTAATAGTAATCATATATAAATATTTACTTATATACCTTCATTGTCAGTATTGAGCTTGGTTTCCATTTCTGCTATCTTGTGTTTTATTTCAACCAATGAGAGTTGCACTACATCCCTGTTATTAAAAATATTTTTGTTAATTGCAATTCAATTAAAAATAACACGAAGCTAAAACCACTACTTCAGAAACAATTTATTATGAAATATAATTTACTGAAAGCATAGATGAGACTCAGGAATCAGCTCAATGCAGGCTTATTAGCCAGTTCAAGAAAGGATTAAACATACAAGAATGTTCAAAGCCCTCAGGTAACCACCAGATTCCCTGTACACTTAACTTAGATATGATACCCAAAAAGTTAGCTGTCTCAGAACCAACAAATTAAGAGTTACAAATTATTACAAAAAGGAGTAGCTAAAGCCATTGGTAATAACAATGTAAGGTAAATATTAACAAATTTAATAAATATATTACAGTAAAAGACATGTTGCCATTAATCTCCCTCAAAATACTTCCTCTCACTTAAAACATAATTATACCATTATTCTTGCCACTTAATGAAGAAGTTCTAAAAGTCCTCTTTCTTGAATATCTTGTGTTGTATTGTCATGGATGCCTTGATATCCTGAATTGATTCAAAATATTTACCTTTTGTGCTCATTTTGGCTTTGGGAAAGAGCTAGAAGTTGCAGGGTGCAATATATGGTGAATAAGGCAGATAAAGACATACTATGATCTTAAGAGCCTCTCCTGTCATAAAGAAAGTGGCAAAAATGATAGGATAAGTGTGTTCAGAGCTAGGGAGAGTATCCTGAGAAGGGCTAATGGCAATGTGTCTTTTCCTGTAATAATGTTTTTAAGTTTAAACACTCACTGTATACTTAGATCACCCCTTGTGCACAGGGAATTTTTCTTTTAAAAAAAAGCATTCTATAGGTTAGCTATTTAGGACACTAATAAATGTCATAATATCGCAATACAGAATGATGACAAGAATCATTTATTCAATAGCTTTGAATACCTATTCTGTTCAAGACATGGACAGCAAAATGAACAAGTTAAAAGAACAGCAATAACATCAAATAACATTCCCTGAATACTTCTTACCAGCAAGTGCTAATTCGTTCACATTACATTTCATTCCATCCTGGTAATACCACAGGAATTATATGTATATCAGAGTTGAGAAAGCTGAGGGTTAACTTAAGAGTGTATAATATTACTGAGCAATAATAGAGATTTGAATTTATGAAGAATTCTTCTAAAATACTTTAGAGTCTAAAAGTACTTGCTCTGATCCTTTACTGCCTCAGACAATTCATAGAACCTGTCCTCAGAATTAAGAAAAGGGCAATTCGAAGTGTGACTGGAGCCATAATAAAATAGATCACAGAAGTCCAATTCTCATGGTGAGACAGGGCAACAGGGAGAGGGGCACTCCTCATAGTGCATAGTGAGGCTACCATCACCCTACACAGACCAATTAGAAAAGTGCTATTTTCAAGCCTTCATTTGCATATAGTGCTGTTCACAGGACCAGATATAAGACCTTCATTTGCATATAGACACTACCAATCAGAAGTCATTATTCCTGATCATTTACATACAGCAGGAAGCCAAGGAACTTTACCATAGAACAGTTTACTTATGGCATAAGGTCAAATGTGTTTGATAGGACAGTGGTCCTTTGTAGGAGGTGAAAATCTGGGAATTTTGGATACAAAAGACCCTTTCCCTTACCCTAGCTGTGAGTCTTTTCACCCACCCACTCTTATTCTGCCAAACATACTCCTTTTCCAACTTCAATAAAAAATACACTTTCACTGTCAGTTCTTTGTGTTGTCCAATTCTTTAGGACACAAACTGTAAACAGTCTCATGGGACCTTCCATCCTTTAACAGTGGGGCCTATGGGCAGGATTAGGATTATCTTTTTAAAAACATACTTAGAACATTCAACATTTTGACACGAAATACTAATATTGTTTTTTAAAGCATATAGGAGGCTGGTAATACAGCTCTGTGATGGATTGCTTGTCTAGCATCTGAAAGGACTTGAGTTGGATACTTGACAAAGCAAAAAAATAAAAGTTTAAAAAAAGCATATAAAGATGCCTGACTTACAAAAATGTCACTTCTGAAGTTATTCTAAAGAGAGAAAAGAAACGCTTAATTAAATAAAATTCTTGGACTATTAAACAGAAAAACTTTAAATTTAGTGGAACATCAAAACCAAAAATATTTTAGCATCACAGTATAGGGACATAATACCCTTCATTAAAAGTGATTCTCAGGCCAGGCTTGGTGGCGCTCGCCTGTAATCCCAGCACTCAGCACTCGGGAGGCTGAGGCAGGAAGATCACTGCAAGTTCGAGACCAGCCTGGGGTACACAGTGAGTTCCAGGTCAGTCTCAACTACATAGTGAGACTCTGTCTCAAAAAACCAAAGTAAATAATTAAAAATTTGATTCTCAAGGCAAAACAAGCAGCTTATATATACTACCTAAGGTTACAGTAGTAAACAAATCTTTCACATAAAGCAGTGTTTTGGGAAGTCACTCAATGTGCCCTTTATCGATTTGGACTCAGAGCGACCACAGTGGCTCCTGCAACTGGATGGTGGGGACGCCCCAGGGAGACGAGGCCGAGGACGGACCGCACCCACGTGGAGGCCGCGCGCCGCCCACTCACTTCCTGTGTATTTCTTCCAGCAGCTGCAGTTTGAGGCGCTCCAAGCTCACACTATCAAAGCTGTCGCCTCTTCCCTCCCCCATAGTGGCAGGTCAGAGACCTCCCGCGCTCTTCCCCTCCGCACAGTTTAGAGAATATGACGGGAAGAACAAAGTGCTGTCATAGGCAGTCGCCATGACCAACTGCCTCACAGGCCCTAGCTCCCGCGCAGCCCCGCCGCGTCACGCGGTGACGTCACAGGGCGCGCCGCCGTCGCCCGTCAACTGGGGGTTGTCGGGGGTAAAACCCACGCGAGCCTATTCATCTTCCCCAGCCACTGTGAGGAGCGCTCCGTCGCTTGGCTGTTGGTTGCGGACCTTTCCTCCTGCCTAACGGCGGCAGCTGGGTGTGGAGGGCTTGATGGGTTAGGTTGAGGTGCGCGGGCTGCATATCTACTATATGCCAGGGAGTCAGGAACGTCAACCTCCTTTTCCTCACCTCCTGCCAGGTGCTTATATAGCCTTAATTCCTATGCCTCCTCAGGGAAATGCAGATCCAAGAGTGACTGTGCCTTGCTTTGCTTCAGTTGAGTGTGTACCACAGGTTCTTGTTAGGGCTGTCGGAAAAGGAACAGACCTTGGAAAGATACTGCCTAAACTCAGGAAAATTTCTGAGTTTCCCATCCAGGTAGTCTATCTTGGAGTTTAGGCAAATTTGTGGACTGTCCACTGTGACTAGAAATTTTATTATATGTTTAATTATAAATTTGTGTTCTACTGCAACAGCATGCTTTAATAGTCTCCTTTCACACCCCCAAACGTGCACTGGCTGCTGTTTGAATATAGTTTGTCCCCTCTAAAATTCATGTTGAAATATAATGCTTGTTAAGAGATGAAACCAAGGGATCGTCAAGAAGTGATTAGAGCTTTGCTCCCATGAGTGGATAATCCATCCATCTCGTGAATGGGTTAGTGGTTTATCTCTGATTCGGTCTGTTTTAAAAGCCAGTGTGGCCAGGACACTCTTAATGCTCTTTCTCTGGCCTGGTGAGTCCTTGCCACCACGTTGGGATTTTGCCAGTATAAAGGCCAATACCAGACACAACTCCTTGGTCTTGGAGCATAATCATGAGCCAAAGTAAACTTCTTGATTGCTTAGTCTGAGATATAGTGTTACTGGCTGTAGAAAAGAGTCTAAAAGAATCTTCTTTACCTTCTGATTCCTACATTTTCCTGGGTCAGCTTGAGAAGAGTGAACATGGGACCATGTTTCCTGGAAGAAATCTGCACAAATGACCCACTCCAGATAAAGGATTTCTACTTCCTCTTCTACACCTGGCCTTTTATTTTTTCTTTTATTCTTCATTTCAGCTCTAGTACCAAGAAGAGTGGCCCTTAATAGTAAGCTAAGGCCCAGTAAACATGTTATACTTTTATATAAAAGGAAAATCTTTCAAATATTTAAAAAATAAAAAGCATACTTGATTGATGCTTGTTTTATTTCATTGCTGCTTATGACATTTTAAAATTTATTTATTTATTTTAGTACCATGGATCGAACTGAGGTCCTAGCATTTAGCAAGGCATGCGGCAGAACCACTGAGCTAAATCCCCGGCCCTTATGACATTTTTAGAAAACCAGCAGTTTATGGGGAAAATATTAGAAACTGACAGCAAAAATTAGAAACTTACGGTTGTATAGTTTGTACAAAATGTTTGTTATGGTGCAGCACACCTATAATCCTAGCCTGAGGCAGAAGATTGCAAGTTGGGGCCCAGCCCAGGCAATTTAGTAACAACTAGATCCTGTCTCAAAATTTGAGAAACAGTTGGAGATGTAGCTCAGTGAGAAGATCCTGGGTTTAACCTCCAATATTAAAAAAAAAAAAAAAGTTTGTACAAAACAAACCTAATGAGCAAGATATGAAGTGGGTTTTGGTTTAAAAAAAAAGATTTGACAAATTTGGAAAAATCTCTTTTGGAGAAAGTTTTAAGCAGGGGAATGATTTGAAATTGAATTGTTTGAAAAAAAACCACAAATGTAGTAGTAGCACATTAGACTGAGAGTGTTCACTGTGCAAAACAATCATCCAGATTTCCTGACAGATAATTTGAAGCACTTCATCTTCAGGAATCAGTTGAACCAATAACAGGAGTTCATTGTGTACAAAGTGACGTTTAAGATATTAAATATATTTGCTGCTTCCAGAGAACCTGCACTTTAATGGAAAAGTGTAATATGCAAGAATTCAAGTAAGTCTCAAAGCTCTCATTAGTATCTATTGTCTACATTGGTAGCTTCTACCCTTCCTCCCCAGCCAGAGTTCTTATATTTTTCTCTCCTTTACAGGGGTGGAGGTGAGAATGTGCTGGGGATAGGTAGAGAGCTAGCTTTGTTATATATTGTTTCAAATCTTCCTGATAATGCATATGTGACCCCTAGATTTTGAAATATCAAAGCCAAGAATAGAGGCTTTTGTTTTTTGGTTCCTTTGCAGAACTGCCTGCTCCTTGGGGTCAGGGAGGCCAAGAATCATTCCTTTCGAATGCTACCTTCAAATAACTACATTTCTATCTGCATGTTTACAAACCCACTCCTCTGGTCAACATGTCTGTATAATGCCCTCTACTCTTTGCTCCGCTCAGAGACTTCATAGACACTTCTTGTTTCTTTGACAACAAAAGGGTCCTTCCACTGTCTTGCCATACTCCTGACTTTCACATGGCTGCTTCCATCCTACAACCTTACCCTTCAAATCACAACTTTCATCACTGGTATCTCCACTTCTCTTCTACAGCCATACGCTCAATGTTGTCCTCACTCAGAATGGCTTCACCTCAAACATCTTAAATTCAAAAACTATCTACAAAGCCTCCTGTCCTTTCAGATCCCAAATCAATTACTACTTATACAACAGTGTTTTATTCACTAAAGTGATGTTCTGGAAGCTTATCAAATATGCACACTCCAGGACTCTTATTTCATCAATAGCACACTCGAGAGCTGGGTTCTAAATCTATCTTTTTAATTTGAACAGAATATATTAGGGGTGGAGATGGAGAACATCTTTACTGGTAACTGTTTTTCCAATGAACAAACTCCGGGGTGCTTATATTTGTGACCACTCTGCATAGCATGTATCTTATGACATTGTTTCAGGCTTTAAAAAAAAATCTGAACTGCTTTATTCACCTTCCTGGATGTTTGAAGTATACTGTGAATATAGCAAGTCCCTGACTTATGGACATTTGATTTGCAAACTTTCACAAATATGAACAGGCCTGGTATTAGGAACATTTGTACATGTGAACAAATCACAGTAGCTCACATGCCTGTTGGACATTGGCACAGTTGTGCTGCTGTGTGCTTACTGTACAGTGTAGTGGTGTACAGTAGTACAATGCTAAGAGCCCAGGATATCCAGAAGCTAGAGGAAAAGCAGTGGTGCTGTGGAGGGGACTTCTAGAAAGCCCAAAGCAATAAACATATTTGTGTCCAAGGTGTGTAAGACTCATTTTGTTGAATTTATGAACAAATCTGATTTACTGTAGAAGTTTCTGTGGGAGGGACAAACTATTCAGAAATGAATGCAATGTTCCTTTTGAAGTATTTCTGTTGCTAAATACAAAAATTGCAAAATCTGTGAGGAAATCTCATGGTTTGTATCTAAATGTGCCCCCAAAGCCACACACACTCAAGGGTGGGGCTTGAGGTAGCTGGATCTAGGGTGTGTGAATGTGGATTAATGATGCAATATTGGGATTAAGGGCTCATGGATTAGTCAGTCTATTAATTGGTTTAGCATAGTTCTTGGTGTGGATAATGGAAGTCCCACCCTGGATGTGGGTGGAACTAATCAGCAAGCTTACAGCGTCGGTGAAATATAAAGGAAGAGAGGGGAGGCAGGCTTGCTGCTACTGCCTGCTGCCTGCTCTGCAATGGACCATTCTCTGAGATGCTCTGCCACAGACTGTTCTCTGAGATGTCCCTCTGCCATGCCATCCTGCTTTGGAGCCAGTTGACTATGGACTGAAACCTCTACAAACTGTGAGCTGAAATAAACCTTTCCTCTTTTAATTGTGGGTTTTGGACATTTTGTCTCAGCAATAAGAAAAGTAACTAAGACAAAGTCTGTTTAAAAACACTTGGTATTTAGTGGGAAGAGAAAACTAGTGTCTCTTTTAGCAGAGCATTATCACACTTACATAAGAAGAACATAAAATGTCTGGCTAACAGCCCCAAATTTGGCTTTTCTCAATATCAAGTAGAACACCATGCACCAGTTTTCAGTTCCAGAAGAGAACTCCAAACACACTTATGCATTGTGTCTTTCTACCAGAGTTGGCAAGGAAAACATGACACAGTCAAAGCACTAGATAGAACAATGCATTACTTTCATAGAGAAGATACAGCAAGATCAGCTCTAGCAGTGTCTAAGGGTCCTGGTCTTATTAATTACTCGTTGTTGAGACACAATACCCAACACACACAAGTAAAAGAGGAAAGGTTTATTTCAGTTCAGTTTTCATTCCATAGTTGGCTGTCTCCAAGGCAGAGTGGCATAGCAGAGAAAATTCATGGCATAGTAGGCAAAGGCAGTGAACAGCCAGCAGGGAGCTTGCTTTTCCCTTTTAGCCCATCAGGTTATAAGCCATTTGGGTGGTGCCACTCAAATCCAGGATGTCTTCTAACTTTAGTAAATTCACCAATCAGTGAACTAATTTGGTACTATATACCCTTAATCCTAGCATCACACACCATAGATCCAGCCAGCTCCAAAAATCCCCACTTACGACCACACGAGGTTTTGGAGGGGCATCTAAATACAAGCCATAATAGCTCCTCACCCCCAGTGGGTCTGCCAGGAATCTTTGTGTACTCTTCAATTGCTGTGGAATGACCCAAAATTCTCTTGCATGGATTCTAAAACACATTTTAAATTGTAGATGTGTCCGAAGGCCATGCACACATGCTTAGGCAGAACAAGGAATATTCCTTGAGCCTCACCGAATAGGGCAATGTATTCCCACAGAAAGCCCAAGCGGTGTAGATTCCTGATCTCTTTATAAGGAAGTGCTCCAGGCTCAAAGCCCATTCTGATGTAGCTAGGGTGTCACAGAGGCATTAAAAGACTGTGCACATGAATCTGCCTCACCCAACACTTACCTGCCCCAACACAGCTATTAACACAGAGAAAAAAGTCAAAAGCTCATACTATCACAAAAATCTAGACTGCTACTGTATCTTGAGAAATTTCTACTATCAACAGAATTATAATAAAAAAATTTAATAGCCAGAATCAGAGGAAATTATAAGGGCTGTTTTTCCTCTATCTACATCTATGTATGAAAAACAAGACTGGCCAGTTACTGTGTTGTGTAGGTCATTAATTTTTGAAGCCAGTACATGACTTTTTATTTCTCCTGATTAATACTATTCTTTTTTTAATATATCTTGGTTGAGTAAATACTTTACCTCTCTGCACTTCAGTTCCTTATTCTGTAAAATGAAGTTCTAAAAGTACATACATAAGAAAGTTGGATTAATCTATATAAAAACTTAGAACATCACCACCACATATTATTATATAAATATTAGCTTTCAATATTTCTATAGCCAGAGAGTCCCTGAAGGAGAACCTAGAAAACTACCTAGTACAAGTAGGAGAAGGGCAGTTGGTAAAGGCAAAATAAGGAAAACTCCAACCCAGTAAATACTGAGAATTACTGTTTTTCACACACTGTATTACTTCTATTTTCTAAAGAAGTACAACAGATAGGCCTTGGCCTTGTCTTAGTCCTAGTGTTACTGGACAAGTAGTTTGTTTTACACAATATCCACAGTCTTTGTATCAAATATTAAAGAGTAGTAAGGGCAGAGATTTATCAAAAAGAAAGTATATATTCTAGAAAGCGGGAACAGACCAATGAGAGAGCTCAAGAGTGGGTTTGACTAAGAGTGGCTCTATCTGCTTTAAATCTTGGGGTATTTATCGTGACCTTTTCTGGTTTTGGGGTGGTACTAACAGGGACTCTGCCCAACCATTAAGTTTCCACCCTCACATCAGGAGAGTTTTTTGATCTGCATGTGTACAGAGGAAACCAAAGCCCACCAGGAGTGTCAAAATCACAATGCTAATACCATAATGACCATGGTATAAACCTTGGTTGCTCTAAAGCAGTTAGAGCCTATGCCCCTCAGGCTCATTCCAGATGTCAAGGAACTGATTAAGAGCAGGAGCATGTTGTAGGATTATGCTGAATGTCAAGGAGGTATGAACAGAGCAAGAATGTATATTTTAGGCTCATGCCTGCATGTTAAGAAAATATGGTTAGGGGGCCGGGGATTTAGCTCAGTGGTTAGGTGGCCTGCCTTGCAAGCGCAAGGACCCGAGTTCAATTCCCAGTAACCCCCCAAAAAAACCCCAAAGAAACAAATGCCCAACAACAACAAAAAACAAAACAAAAAAAAGAAAATATGGTTAGAGCAGGATGCTTTTGTAATATCCAAGAGCCAAAGGCATCCTGCCTATTGAGAGCCTAAGGCAGATGTTTCCCACAATCTCACTCGTCTATTCATGGTTCCTGTAACAGAACACCTGAGACTGAGTAATTTATAAAGAACAGGCATTTCTTTCTCACAGTTAAGAGGCTGGAGACCAAATCTCAAGGCACTTAACAATTCAGTGTTACATGAGCTTGGTCTCTGATTTCAAGATGATGCCTTGTTGCTGGGTCCTCTTACGGGAGAGAGGGGAGAGAAAAGGGGAAACAGATACTGTGTCTTCACATGTCAGAAGACCAGAAAGGGCCTGGATAGTTTCCTCCAGCCTTTTCTCTAAGGCATGAATTACACCCGAGTGTAAAGACCTCATGGCTCAATTAACAAGACCCTACCTCTTAATATGGTTTCAGTAGGGATTAAGTTTCAACATGAATTTGGGAATGTACACATTCAAACTGTAGGCCTCCAAATAATAAAAACTGGACTAAGAAGATGTTATGCTTAATCTTGTGGACTGCAGGTTTCCCAGATTATTTTGTGTTCTGTGAGGGTATAAAAGACAGGTATTTGTTCTTTTTTTTTTCTTTTAAATTGAATTTATTGGTACATTCTAGGTAGGCAGTACAGTTACATTTATTACTGGGATCTTGTACCTTTACATGCCAGGTCTTGGTTCTCATTTTTCCCCTTGTCCCCACCCTCCCTTCACCCCCTCCTCGCCTCCCCACCTTCTAACACTTTAATTCCATTTTTCCATTTTCTCATATTTTTTTCCTTTTCCCTTGTTCCCCTTTCTCTATCCTTCTCACTGTCCCTACACCTTTGGTCCTTTTCTATTTCATGTTGCTAATTGTCCCATTAGGATCTTGAGTACTATTTTAGTTTTTCACAGCAGAGAAACTATTCAGTATTTGCATATGTGTGACTTATTTATTTCACTTAGGAGTATATCCTTAAAATGTACCCATTTACCTATGAATAAATCTACTTACTCATTCTTTATGGCTGAGTAGTATTCCATTTTATAGAAAAACCTTCTTTATCCAGTTTCCAACTGATGGGCAGATGGGCTGTTTCCAAGTTTTAGCTATTACAAACTGTGCCGCTATAAACATGGGTGCGCATATATCACTGTGGTATGATCCTTTTAATAATTTTGGAAAGATACCCAGCAGAGGAATGGCTGGGTCAAATGGAACCTCTAGTCCCAGCTCTCTGAGGTATCTTCATATTGATTTCCATAGTGGTTGCACCAGTCTGCACTCCCAACAATGGAGAAGGGTTCCTTTCTCCCCAAAACCGTGCCACATTTGTTGTTGTATGATTTCTTGATAGCAGCCATTCTTTGTGGGGTGAGGTGAAATCTCAGTGTTGTTTTCATCTGCATTTCTCTAATGACCAGTGATGTGGAGCACTTTTTCATATATTGACTTGCTGCTTTTATTTCTTTGTCTGAGAAATTTGTTTATTTCAGATGCCCATTTTAGAATTGGGTCTTTATATTTGGGGGGGGCTAGTTGTTTGAGTTCTTTATATATTTTAGATAATAGTCCTTTGTCTGAGGAGCAGCTGGTAAAAAGTTTTTCCCACATTGTAGGTTGTCTCTTAGTTTTATTGGTCTCTTTTGCAGTGCAGAAGCTTTTTAATAAGATGAGATCCCAGTTGTTCTAGTTCCCATCCTACTGAGGATTTGTTTATAAAGTCTTTTACTATGCCAATGTCTTCCAGAGTTCTGCCTAATTTATCTTCCAGCAAGTTTAGTGTTTCTGTTTTAATATTTAGATCTTTAATCCACTTGGATTTTAATTTAGTGCATGGTGACAGGTAAGGGTCTAGTTTTAATCTTTTGCAGGTTGAGATTGTTTTTCCAACAGACAGGTATTTGTTCTTAGTGCCTAGTTCCTGGCAGAATTTAATGTCTTTTACCATTTGTAATTAATACCCTTTCAACCTTATCTGAGTTTATGTCAATAAGGTCACTTTTAAGACATGGGGACTGAATTCCAGAGAAACTATGTGGCTAGAAGACTGGAAGTTTAAGTTTCTATTTGATCCTCCACTCCATGACCTCCAGAGGGCTGGGACTGCGTTAATCACCAACGGCCAATGACTGAATTATTCTTATGTAATGAGGTCTCCATAAAAACCCTCAATGACAGGGTTCAGAGAGCTTCTGAATTGGGGAATGTATTCATGTGCCTGGAGAATGTTATATCCAACTCTATGAAGACAAAAAGCTCTATTTTAAGACACAAGTCAGCTTACTTTTTCTTGTAAAGGTTCAGAGTAAATATTTTAGGCTTCTGGACCTTATAATGTCTTCCCACTAGAGAGCAGCCATAGACAATATGTAAACAGATATAACTGTGCACCAATGAAACTATTTTTGAAAAACAAATAGCCAGCTGGGAGGTATCTGCAGACCTCTAAGGTAACTTTTCAAATGTTAGGCTTTATTATTTGGCATTCCATCTCTTAAAAACTTAAAGCAGAGACTGATTGGAAGCTATTTACCAATTCAATTTTATTTCTGTTTTAACAACTAGTATCACTGGCCTTAGGAAAAAGCCCCACCACCAGCCCAATAAATACATATGAGGCCAAGCAAGTCAGATAATTTCTTTATTCACAAAGTGCATTCTTTGGCTAGTTTCAAATAAAGTCTAATTAGCCACTAGAAGTTCAGAAATTATATAGATGATAGCTATAATTACCAATATTAATCTTTTAAATCAGTAAGCATAACTGTCATTAGATCTTTACTCATATACTTGCAGCTTAAAGATCAGAGTATTCTGTCTTCTGCCAGAGTAGAAACTGCTTATGCTTACGTATCATGGGATAAGCCTAACGTTTCATCCCTTTACCTTGACCATAAATAGATCCTTCCCCTGTTAACTTATTAGCTTTTAAATATAAATCCCAATGAATGAATCAAAAAATAAAAATATATTTATCATCGGTAAATTCAATTACTTAATACTGTAAAATATCCTAGGTTTGTAAATACATCAAAACCAGTCACAATCTAAAAGACTTAAATATATATTTTTATTCATTTTAAATGAAAAATACCTCATTTCCTAACAAACAGGCAAGCTACCAAATAGTTTCATAAAATCTCATTTTTATTTTCCATAATCAGTCTCTTTCCTGTTTGAAAATGGAATCTGGGAATTCTTTTAGATTGTTTTTATTTAGAATACACACTGAAAATTCTGACAAGTACCTAAAGAGATCCACAATTAGTGCAAAAAGAATATACAGTATTTTAGAGGTCATTCTTTCCCAGTATAGATAGAGCTAAGCTTACTAAATAACAGATTTTATGTAAATATATAATTTCCTTTTCTTTCTGAAAGATAGCAGATAGAAAAATATTAAAATATTATTAGGTTTAGTGAGATTTATAGCTCATATATTATAAGCTGTATTTTAACTGAAAAAATATTTTAGCCACATTTAGGGCAAAAATAAACTTATTAAGAATATAACTTCATTATTTCTAAAGGCCAGATACAATAATACTGATTGTTTTCCTTGTAAGTGGAATGAATACATGCCAGAACACTTATGGTAGTCGTTTGATAGGAATGAATACATTAAAAAAATACTAGTTAATGTGTTGGAGAATTCCATATTTGCTTATTTTCCCCATCTGGAAAGGCTGTGGTATTGCTAATTTCATCATTTATCTTTCTTCTTTGCTTCTTTCTTTTCATCCTTCTGTCTTCTAATTTTTGTATTTGATGTTCCTTCTTCACCTTCCTTCTGAGAATTATCAGATATTTGATAGTCCTCAAGGAGTTTTTGTCCTGTTTGTTTTGCAGTTTTCTTCACCACTGCTTTTATACCAATGTTATCAATATTATAGGCAGTTACACCAACATTGATGGCAGAATCCACTGCATGATGTGTAGCTTCTCCTGCGTTATGACCGTATCTTAAAAAAGAGAGAGAATGTACAATGAAATCATAAATATATGTTAATAATCAGTAATTTTTTTAACCTTCCTTTTTTGGAAACACCTGTGTAAGGAAAAATTTTCACTGAATCTAGTCATTATAAATGAACTTTTAAACTATAGGAATCTGAGTTTCTCTATAAACAGAGAGTCTATAACTTTCTCCTTGATATCACTCACTACTACAAACTCACTGGCCTTCCTACTGTCCCTTAAACCCACCAAGCACGCAAAGGCCTTAGGACTTGTGTATCAGCTAATCTCTGCCTGGACTTCCCATGGCTCACCATCTCACTTTCTTCAAGTCAGTCCAACTACCATCCTATCAGTATCTAACTTGCTCAATGGCCTTCTTCCATATGTCCCACATCAACGCTCATCAATCCCCCCTTAAACTGCTCTTTCTTCTATAACTTACCACCTTTTACAACCCCACTGGAGATGAAAATTGTTTTGTTCATTAACACATCTAAGCATCTATAACAGTGCCTGACATTCAATAAATATTTAATGAATGAGTGAAATGAGTAATATCTGCTCTATCCACTTCAGTTTCTTGAACATCCAATGTACAGAAAAGTTCTTGTGAAATTATAAAACAGAGTAATTATCAATATGTCTTTAATGCCATGTCTGAGAAAATGCAATCTGAAAGCCAATACAAGGAGATTCTAAAACTTATTTCCCTATGTTTTATTTTTTTCTTAACCCCTTTTCTGATGCCAACCTTTTCTTATCAAGTTTTCCCAAATAACAAAACAAGGAAAAACCTGCAAAATTTTACATTTTCTCTTCCACATGAAGATTCATAGGTACTTTGTGAACTATATCTGAATGTTTTATATTAAAACTGGAGACCTACATTTTGAATGAACAAGTTCTCTATTTCTATTACATTCTAAAGTACTACCATGTCTTAAATGGCTTTTCATCAGTTTTATTTCTTTAAAGTACACCTTCACTTATCACCTCTGCCTTCCGATATACCTTAGAACCAGTTTTCCAAATAGGCATCTATTACTCTGAGAATCATTATAAATGTCTTTTAAATTATGGGAATATGAGTTTGTTTTTAAGCAGAAATAACTTCCAGTCATTTTCTTCAAATTACACTGCAAAAAACAAACGAAAACAAAACAAAACAAAAAACAAAAATACCCTCCCAGAAACCTATCTAAAAAAGAGAATATAAGGTTTTTTCTAGGTATATTTTTCAATAACTTAATTTGGATCTTTAGATATTAACACTACCAAAGAATAAAAATTAGTATGAAGCATGCCCTAAACAACAGGATTTAATTTACAGTGTGAAGTGGACTTTTCATAAATTTCTTCATTGCGTTCAGAGTCATCTGTCTACAAAGGCAATTTTTCTACATTTTACTAATTATAGCAGCATTTCAGCCATATCAACTTTCAAATGTGTCTATCTTTTAAGTTAATTTTATGTAACCATCAAAACTATCCTTGAAAGTACTTGGAATATTTAAACTGGAAATAGTTTTAAATTAATCTACCCATCAAACCAGAAGGCTTGTGGCTAGTTTATGAGGGAACTTGTAGGTAAAACTAATGAGTTTAAAACAAAATTTAAGCAAAGAAACAGCATAATAAATCTTAAAACATCCTTCTAACTCTGGCTGCCTTGTGAATTAAAGAGCATAAGACTAGAGGCAGAGACCAATTAGCTAACAGGTGTGAGCTGATGAAAAATAATTACAGTCTATCCTAAGATAGTGAGGGTTGAGGGCAAGGATTAAATATAAAAATCAACAGGACATGGTGGTGTAAAGTCTGTAGTGGTACATAGTTGGGATGTTTAAGCCCAAAGATTAAGACAAAAAAAGTTAACAGAAAATACAGACTTGTCTATAAAATGTGAAAGAGAGAACAAAGTATAAAACCTCACAAAGAATAAACAGATTATGAATGGGCATGGTTTAAAGACTGGCGGGATAAAATGGAAAGGTAAGCTAAGTGAGAACACTGCAAGATCTATAGATTGCAAATCCATTAATCTTAAAAAGCATTAAATATTGGAACAAGATCAGTCAGGGCAGAGGTAAGTAAGCATGTGATTAGACCTTACCCATGAAATTTTTTGGAAAAAATATCTCTATAAAAAATTCATCTTTTATATCTACTGATAATTCAAACTGGAAAAAGCTGTCTAATATGAATCACCTCAAAAGCAAAATCGTAAATGAAAAAAATGATTTAATGGGTTAAAAAAATCAATGAAGTAAAATTAAGAGCATAAAGAGAGGATCTTGGGCTGGGGATATAAAGATTTATTCTTTTAAAGTGTAAAGATTTTTGTTTGTTTGGCAGTGCAAAGGAATGAACCCAGGGTTTTTTCACTGAGCTAAATCTTCAGCCCCCTTTTTTTTAAACCCCATTTTTAATGTTGAGACAGGGCCTAAGTTGCCCAGGCTGGGGTCAAATCTGTGATCTTCCTTCTCAGCCTCCCAAAGTGCTGATACAGGTATGTACCACCACAACCTGCAAAATAAGTTTCATAAAATATCTACCAAAATGTATACTCTTTTGTCTTGTGTACCATATTTATCAAGAACAAAATGTGACCAAAAGAAGGGCAACAAATGCCACTATATTTGAATTGATCATAACAGATGTGGTCAGCATCACATTTAACTTGGGATGCTGTAGTTTGCAAAGAACACTGATAAACTTTCACTTGTCCCTAATAAAATACAAACTGAAGATGAACAGAATAAGGACCTGGGAACCACACTATATGTGGATCTGACAGGGAACTGAGAATATTTAGAAGAAAAAAACAGTGATGGGCATAAAGACAATATTTAAATATTTCTACTAATACCTAGAAAAGATAAGAATAATTCTGAATAATTTCCAGTAAGTATCAAATAGAAGTGGTTTCAGGTATAGAACATTTACAATTGGAGTTACTCCTTCAATCCATAGAAATTTAATAGATTTTAATTAAATTCCACTAAACAAACCAATAAAACATTGTGACACAAAACAAATTTCTTACAGGAAAATATCTTTAAGCTTATTTTTCCATAGGTATATAATCAAAGATGAAATACTGCTAAAGGAAAATAAAAACAGATCTAACTTACTAGATTAGTTACTTGCCTTAAAACAAAAGCGCAAAAAAGGAAGCTTAGTAATGAAATCTAGAAGCTATGTATAAGAATAATGAATTATTTAATAGGAACTATACTGTAATTAGGATAATGGGTTTAAAATTACTTATTGTTTTCATTGTCCCTGTTGGGCTTCATGTTCCTAAATCTAAAATAAGACAAAAGTATTAACTGACAAAAATAAATGAGTCTTGGTTAATTCCTATACATTTACCTAAAAATGTTAAGAGTAGATAATTCTGTTTCAGCTCATACCACCAGAAATCAGACAAGGAAGTTTATGAGCTGTTCCCTCACCTCCAGCACCCAGAGGCCTTCATCAGAGCAGACTGGTAAGGACTGCCCAGCTGTGCGGGTGCCTCTGCAGCATCCCCCACCCCCCAAGCTTTTGGGCCTCCTGGTTGTGCCAGTACCTGGATCCACACTGCAGAGGCACAGGTGGTCATAAAGGCCATTGTACTGAGCTCCAGAAGATAGAACAGAAGTGAACAACTACAATAAAGGCACATCAGACCTCTGTAGTTGTAGTTCCCATCCAAACTTGGACTATCTTCAGGGGAAGGGCAGCTGGAACCTGCAGTAGAACCTTGCAGGATGTCAGCGAGCTCATCTTGGGCCATGCAGTCAGAATTCAGCCTGAATCTCCAGGGTCTGCTGCAGACTACCTGAGACTAACTGACTTAGTTCTGTATGCTGCTGCCCACATTATCTACTGTAACACCACAGATACACCGTGAAAGAGGCTCTTAAAATTTTTTTTCTTTCTTTTAATTTTTATTTTTAAAAATTTTTATTTTTTCCCACTCTATAAATTCTCTTTTCTTTCTTCTTTTTCCCAGTCTCTTGCTCCTCCACATTATTCTTCATCTCCCTTTTTGTTCATGCCCTAATTTGAATTTCTTTTTCTTTTCTTCTTTTTCCTTCACTCAAGTGAGATTAGATTCAAAGGAAAGTGAGTACAATTTATAACTTCCCTACTACTGTTAAGTTGTTCTATTCTTGTCTTTGTTCTTATACTCTGTCTTTCCCTCTTGTCTTCAATGGTTTCCTAGAGTTTATGTGATCATCCTGTCTGTGTGCTCTGGCTTCACTTGAAACCTTCTATTCTTTTACCTATCTCTTCTCCACCCAACACTTTCTAAGTCCCCATTCTGAAGGGTAAAGAGTTTATTCACTATAAACACATTTTTGGCTGGTCCTTGATTTTTATTTAATTCAACATGGTGAAAGACGATTTTATTACTCAGTTTCTAAGCTGTGCCTGATGCTATTGTGTTGCTAACAGAATCAACTGGGCTAAAGGGTTGTGACTGATTTAATCAGTTGTCCTTCCTGATATTATGAAAATGAGAGTGTCTCTGAGTCATTAGAGACTCAAAACCAAAAGAGCAGCTATATATATCAGGAAGATCAATGTACTAAACCAGGAATTAAACCAAGGAAAGCACCAACAACAAAAATAAAATGAGGAAACATGTAAGCAAAGCACAAATACAGACTTACAGTTCAGCAATGGCAAATTCTAGGGAAAAAGAAGTGGAAAAGACTGACAATCAACCATCAGGGCACCTCAAACTCATATCACAGGAAGGAACAAAACAGATCAATCAGGCTCTAGAAAAATTCAAAACAGAAATAATTTCCTAGATAACTACAGATATGGTAGGTGCAAGAAAAGACATGATTAGAGACTCTACAAGAGAAATAGACCAAAAAAAAAAGATGAGTTCAGGACCATGTAGAAGGTATGAATGCCCAGCACAGGAAAGAAATGGAAACCATGAAACAGATTCAAACAGATATCCAGGAGATTAAAAACTCTATAAAAGCATTTTCAGCAG